GGTGCAAGGAGGACAGAGCCAGACTCTTTTCAGTGGTGCCCAGTGACAGGAACAGAGGCAATGGACATCAACTGAAACACTTTTTTCTACTGTGAGGGTGACCAAGCACCAGCACAGGTTATCCAGGAAGGTTGCAGTCTCCCTTCTTGGAGATATTAAAAAACTATCTCCAGATAAGCCAGTTTGAACAGAGGAGTTGGACCCTACGACCTTCAGAGGTCCCTTCCAATCCCAACTATGCTGTGACTCTATGAACATTAAAACATTAAAATTGGTACAAATATTTGCACTTTATGCAAGACACTAAATGTCTTCAAAGGAAGAGAACAGTCCTGGTTTGCTATCCCTTGCAGTGACATGTAATGCAAATCTCTTCTCAGCTACTCAGCAAGATCCTTAAATTCCCTAAAAGCTCCCCTTTGCCTTCTTGGTAGTCTGCCAGACTCATTAAGTCTCCTGCAAGCTTCCTGTTTCTGACTTACACTTTTGAGAGCTTCTTCAGTTAATTGTCCTCATAATTTCCTTTGTGCACGCTGCCTGATGCAGTTTATGTTTTTGTAACCCTTGCACTAGGTGTCAACAGCCGAAGCAGAGGAAGGGTTTACTCTGCCTATCTGGTGGGCCAAGGTTTTTTAGTTCCAAGAGTTTTCTAATGTAAATACTTAAAAAAATCACAAGACAGCAGCTTGTGCCCCTTTTAAAGAGTCTGGCCGTTCACTTCAGAGTCCCTCCAAACAAATGAATTAACTGACAAAGAGTAAGAAAGAACAGTTCTCTGCACTCTTTCACAGACAAAAATGTAAGGGCTGAGTGCTGACTTGTTTAGCCTTGCCAAAGGAAGACTAAGGGACACAAGGGGGGTCAGATCTCTTGCTATAAATACCTCAGTTAGAAAACAGTTATTCATGCTAAGAGACAATGCTGGCATAAGAACAACGGTATATAAACGAGCTGCGAATGCATTTAGGGTGAATACTGAAAGCAGATTTTCATCCACTGAAGCAGAGAGACCCCAGAGCAGCCTTGAAAGAGGAGTCACAGCAGCACACACGCGCAATCGCATCCAAGTTCAGCAACAAGAGTTTAACAGGAGACTGGACTCCGACACAGAAGATCCATTTTACTGTTGCATCCTTGTCATCTGTTCCACATTATAATCCATTTTGATAAAAGATGAATACTTCTCATTAATAACGCTGTTGTGTGCTAGGCCTGTGCATAAGCCTCAAGAGGGCCTGTGGTGATGAATGACAGTCAAGTAGACTGAATGAAAAATTCCTGCCAGCCTATGCCTCATAGAAAAGGCATTGGCACGACATACCAGAGTTTATCAGCCTCAAAAAAAATCCTGATAGAGCATGCCTATAATTCAACCTTCAATGTGTGGTTGACGCACAGATTCTGTACTCAGAGAGCTGTTTCAGCGAGGGGCTGGATTTCTCACACCCCTCAAGCTCCTCTGGAGGTTTTTCCAATGTTGTCACTGTGGAGGCACAGTTAAATGGGCATAGACATCTCAGAGGGTGACATCGTATATTCTTCCTTCTTACACTGAAATAAGCAATGCAGGTAAAAGGCACTTTTATACCATTATAACTGTAAATGAACTACAGAAATTGTATGCTTTAACTAGACTTGAACCACTAACACGGACTCATGTGAAGTCAAGTCCTTGAAAGAAATCTTTAAGAAACAAAACTAAACTCCTTTTACAGCACACAACCTCACTTCACCAAGGCGGCTTTGCTCATTAGCTGCTTTTAAACACCAGGAGGTAACTTTCTTTCAGAACAGACTGCCTTGTAACATTGTGTTGTGAAATTTCACATTCATAATTTTATTATAGAGGCGGTATCTGAAGAGCAGAGAAAATAACTATACATAGACTTTATAGAACATTCATTTACATACTGGAAACCTTTTTATGCTTCTTTACAGTTTCAAGAAAAAGGCAAAAATTTTCACTAGTAGGTAAATCCAAGAAGGAAACAATTAATTTTTAATGATACTGTTGGATACATGGAAACGATTTAATTAAAAACATGGCTTTTAGCATTTCTGTAGTTTAACACTGTACGATTATAGTAGTACATTTACTAAGCAGGTTAATAGGAGTCTGGCTAAATACATGTGTCAACTTGGTGCCATTAGTTATGAAACCAAAAACCTTGAAAGAAAGTGCTGTATTAACTATTTAGTATTGTATTTGCCATGAACATACTTGTTGTGAATATCTTTCTACATACACTACACAACAGTACATACTGAACTATTCTGCTTTGTGCATTTTTTAATTCATTAAAAAGCAAAAGCACGTGGCAGTATACCATCCAAACGAATGCATAATAGAAAACCTCCCTTAGAAACAGGGCAACTTCTGTTTTCCCACTTAACCAAGCAGAGCTAAACTCCCAGGAAACACCACTCCCAGGAGTGTCAGCATTCAACTCCTTATGCTCTTGAATTCAGCAGGCCTTGAAAAAGCACAAGGAATAAAAAATAAGGCCCTGAATGGAAATTATAATACACGGGGGAAAAAGGACACTTTATTTTCAGCCCAAAGGCCAACACTTGGTGTCTAACAAGACACACTAAAATGGAAGTATCATCTACAGAAGTGAAAAAGTCTAGTAAAAAATTCCACCTCATTTCAATGCTCACAACACATCAGATTAAAATCTAATTTGGACTTAAATCTAACTGAGATGTCAGCTGAAGGAATTCCCTGGACTCCAACTGGCTGACTACACAAGGCAACTGGGAGCTCTTGGTGCATGAGAAGAATATTAGAAGGAAACTTGTCCTCACGTGTTTAAAGGATAAAATCTCCTAAAAGTAATAACTGCATTCTTTTTTTGGATGGTACATAAACACCGTTTAAGTAGTATACCTCTGTTGCAGAAGAACAGAATTATTTGGTACAAATCAGAGGCACTTGCCTTTGTTGCTTCAACGGTAGCTACTACACTTTGGACTGCTTCACCCTTCCACACACATCCAACGCCCACTGCTACTAACACACCACGTCCTGCTTCAAATTCATTAAACTTCAAATCTTTCCTCTCTCTCCCTTTCTTCCCCACCCCCTTCCCTTTAAAAAGCATTAAGTTATTTATACAAAATTCATAGTTGTACAAATAATTTGGTTATGCTTTTGGCTGTAGTCACTGAGTAAGGTTTCCATGGTCCTAATACTTAAAGAAACAGGAAGAGAGCTGTTAATAAAAAACAGATCATAATTAATACAGGACAAACATAGTTCAAATTGGTGGAACCTTCTTACTATATAGCCCAACCAGAGTTTCCCACTTCATTTAACCATGATTTAGTAGAAGTGGATAAAACGATTAAATCCTCCAAATAGGTACAGTTGGCCTCACACCTGAATTCAGCATGTCATTTTATCCCTCGGGTTATTCATATAATGTTGACAGCCACACATCAAAGAAATGGAGGCCATGAAACTTCAGCACTGTCACCCTGCAGCTGTTCTATTACCATCAATTCTGATATGGGGGTCTAGTATTGCTTTTTTTGGAGTGAATGGGAATTACACAGCAGACCTCAGCGTCTTAACTTCCCCGTGAACGTTTCCACTGTGACCTACTATATCAAACTTCTGTAAAGCTAACTAGTACTTTGTTAAAATACCAACATATTTAGGAAGATAGAGGTATGTACAATTGTGATGGTTGTAGAAATAATGACATAAATCCTCTCAAGAAATGGGACAGAGTAACAAAAGAAATTCCATTCCCTTTTGGATCTCCTGACTCAAAGAATTATTTAAGAATATCATAAACCAAAGATAGTTCTTACAGATAAAAAAATAAAAAAGCCCAGAACTCCAAAACTCCAATAAAAAGGGGGCCAAAAGAATCCACAAATATAATAATGTGCTAGGTAGGGGAAAAAATGTTACTACCAAAACAGTATTGCAGACACAGGAAGTGCGAAGTATCTCGCCACTGTAAGACAAAAGTATAAAACATGAGACTCTATTGTCTATAGCAAGGCACAGGCTATATATACACTTCTACTTATGCAAAGTAGTGCTAAAGAGGCAAAGCTCAACAATGGCCTAGTTTAAAAATATCCATATGACATATCAAGATCTGAGATGTACTATAAATAATCTGGCACAGGTAAAATACATAAATTATAAAATTTTCTTTTTTCCTTTTCCCTCATTTTTATCCTGTAATTATTAAAATACAGAATCTTCCCTCCTTAGTTCTCTGTATAAAAAAATGATACAAAATATCCAATTACAGAATAGAATTCCACGCAACCTTTTTCTGCCACCTCTCCCCTATTTAAATTTTTTCAAACTAAAACAGCCCAGCCTTCTTAACACTAAATACAGAGCAATCATCCTGAATATTCCACATTGCCGCTCCTTTCTTATCAGGAATCAACTTGCACAAACCTTCTCTTAACATACATCTTCCCCTTTCTCCATTCAGTTCCCATCACTGATCACATACAGATGAAAGGAAGAGCAAATAGTCTTCCTCAGATCATCATTCTCTTAAGAGCACGTTTGCAAGGCCTATAGCTACCATTGATGCAACTACGGCAAGTGTTTTTGTGGAGGTTATAGAAAACATTTTTTGCACAAAAAAGTAGCACAGCCTAGCGAGTATTTCTGCTCCAATAAATGATGAGAAACAGCATGTGAAAATATATTAGAAACCCTTCAGGAAAGAGGTTTTTCATTTATGCTTCATTCAGGTGTGGGCTACATGGGTTTGGGTAGCACGCAGCTTCTTTTGTTTCATCCTTTGGTATAAAACCAAAGAAATAATGCTTTGTTAAGTCAGAGGCATCTTCAAAGAAGAGGCTGAACTCTTGCAAACATAATGCAGACAGACCGTCCTCTGCTTTCCTTCTTGGGAATGACAAGGTTCAGACATTGCTGCTCAAAAGGCTTTCTCCCTCTCACAGTGCTTTCCTTCAGTGAAGTCTGTGAAGAGCTCTGAGTCAAGGATGGAAAGGCATCAGATCTTCTTCTGGGACCCGATCATGACCTTTGATACAAAGTTCACAATGGCACTGGCGGGTTGCTCTGGATCATGCTCTGCAAACAGGTGGCACACATTGTCTGTGGCACTGCCTTGCTTCCTGGCCACGAACCCAAATACTCTGCAAGGACAACAAGCACAGTCTATCAGAGAACAGACGGGCATTGCCTCGCTCCATAAAGCAAAAAAGAAACCAAACCATACATCAGAGCTCATCTGTTCTGGTGGAAAAGGTGACTGCTAAACACAGCAATCCAGATGCACCAGCCCACTCAAGAGCTCCTGAGTGGCTCAGGATGGCCAGAATCAGGGAAGGAGGCTGTCCCCTTCCTTCTACTCTGTCTATATGGCATCCTGTACTGTCTGCTGTCAGAGACGTGCTGCTGACCCTGGGGAGACATTGAACCTGATTCAGTATTGCTGCCTTGGGGGGTGTGTGGTATCGTGTGGCAGAAATTGCCTAAAGAGAGGTTTTGAGGCTCACACATCTCAGTGGACAGAGTACTGGAAATAGGACTTAAGCTATCTATTTCTGTTCCTTTCCAGAAACCAGTGCCTGAGCTCTCTGTTTAGTTTTTTCTTCTGGTAAAAGCAGGACAATGGTGATCGCCTTCAATAGAAAACACTTTGCAATCCAGTGGTAATTATATATTTATGCCACACACTAATATTACTAGGAGTGTTTTCATCTACGTGCAATGTGAGGTGTTTTTTTTTTTAAAGCTATCAGTCTAAGTGAGAAAAGTAAGCTTGTGTTAGTGTTGCTGGACAAGTGGAACATAAACCTGAGTAGCAAATGGCTCTATTTTCATTTCCGAAACTTTAGTCAAATCACAGGCCTGCAACCTAAATAAACCACACTAGCTTTGATTCCAGACATATCATCTCACCATCATATAACTAGGCCCTGACTTGCAGAGGTACAGATGAAGGAACTAAAATCTAATTACAGTGGACATAGAAACTTTTGTCTCTGAACAGCTGGTTTGCCTTCTACATCTCTGACAAAGATAATTTAGAACACTAAGAAACTGAGCACTGTAATGATAGTCCTAAAACATACACTTAAAGGAGACTCGGACAGGTGTCCACTTACTTTGCAGACAGGCCATCTTTCATCCATCTAGTCCATCAAGAAAGCAGTAAGAAAAAAAAATAAATGGAGAAATAAAAATTAAAACTATGTTAGTTGGGGTTTTTCTGCAGATCAACATTACAAAAAAAATATTAGAAATACTGCTTGACTTCCTTACTTTCTGTCTTGTGGATCCAAAGCACAGAAAATAACAGTGTTGACTGGATAATGTCGCCGAAAAAAGAGCCTGGATAGGGAGAAATAAAACAAGTTTTAGGAATAGTGAAGATGCTCAAAATTTTAAACAACTGTCCTGGCTTACTGGGCAGAATTTGAGAGTCAGTTTCCTGTTGAGGAAAACTGTGATTTTGTAAGGACTGCAACACTCTATTTTAATGGGAACACAGTGATAAGACTGTTACAGGTCTCGTCTAAAGCTGATATGTGATGCAAAACACAAAAAAGGGAGTTGACCTCAAGCTGACCAATTAGCACTAATCTGTACCCTAAGTGTCAAATTCACTATAAATTGGGGAGCTCGCTAGGGACAGTCCTCCTTCCTTCTTCTTCTCTCTTCCACAGCTGACATCTGGAGAGGGACTTGTTTACTGTCTTAACCCTGAGGCCTATTCTCCCATAATATTGGCTGAGTATAACTCTGTGTGTTTTATAATATAACTGTTATTAATATCAGTTTATTATTATTTTATTAAATGTATTTCTATTTCTACCCACAAATCTCCTTTCCTTTTCCTGATCCCCCTCCCTGGGTGGGGAGGAGGCACTGGGTGACAGAGCAACTGTATAAACCACAGTAAACAGATCTGAAAAGTTAATTGTATTTAATCTAAATTTAATAATGATGATATATTTTATTTGCTATCTCTGAGAGAATGTGAAAGCCACCTGAACTTCTCCAACCAAATAAATCCATATTTAGAATAGTAACACCAAGTTTTTGAACAAAAAGAAAACTGATCCTCAAGCTAGTAAAGAGAACTAGAAGTATGAAATGTGTTGGGTTTTTTTTTCATAAAACTGGCCATTTAGATACTATGTTAGTGGGAAATTGAACTTCCTGGAACTTGTGAATAATCTATTGTACTAAGTTTCAAAATACAAGCACTCTCAGGCATCATAACTTAAGGTCTTGACCTGGATTTCTAAACCATGTCTCTGAGCACCCTGTCTCATGGTGTCTGTAAGTGTTTATAAGTGGGAATGGTAGAGTTAATGATTTGGCTTGATGATTTTAAAGGTCCTTTCCAACCATAATGATTTTACGATTCTATTAATTGAGAGGCCTGGTGGTACCTTTTTCTTTTTTTAACTTATAATGAATTTTTGTTGTTCCTCCTTTGAAATTGTCAGTTTTCAAACCTAAAGACTTTGTGGTAGCCTTAATAGCATTCAGTACAAAGTAAACAGAGATTAACTTTTTATCATATGATTTTACAGGCTATCCAAAGCACTATTTTAAATAATGGAACACAGCATCTGCTTTGGCCAGCTCTCTTCAGTGATACTGGTGGAAGATGCCATGAAGAGAAATTATTCCACTGAATAGGTTGAATATCAAATGCTGGCAAAGCCATGACTTTCCCTTTCTGTAAGAACTAACAACAATGAAAAAACACCATGGCAAAGTGACCTTCCAGAGGTAAAAGCTGCCATGTGGAAGTAACGTCCATAGCTTAAAACATCTTTCTCCAGTACTGCAGACACCTGACGCTGTCACCACCATTCTCTAGACAACCCTGTTATTCTCTGAGACAAAGCCTGCAGAACATAACTAGGAAAATCACAGCAACCACAGCCAACATTTGTGGGGACAAGTCCAAATATTCTCTTCCCACCCCTCTTTTGCTTACTTTCTTTGATTATCTGTCAACGTGATTCCCTGCGCAGACACCTTGAAATGGACAACGGTGGAGGTAGGAGAAGGTTCCTGAATCAGCGTCAGGCTCAAGGCTTTCTGTACTGCCTGGTACCCCGTGAGGGACTCCATCTCCACCGAATTCAGGTACCAAACATTACAGGCTGTAAAGAAAGAGGGGAAAGACTATAAGAGGTCGTTACTGAACAGCAAGCAAATGGGTACCTTCTGAATAAACCCGAACAAAATGTAAATTCTCCAAATTGTGAAGGAAACAGGGAAGACTGACATCAAACTACAAAAACCTCTACATGTGCCCACCTTGTCCCACTGTTGCTTCATTGTTTAAGAATACAATTTTGGAGGTCATAGGCCTTTTTCTGTCCCTTTGTTTTTAACACCTTTATATTTAAGCCAACGACTGTATTTATTTATTACCTACAGATCATGAAATTTAAATAAATACAAGACAGCAGCAGAGAGACAGAGGCAGTCACAGGTACTACTACAGCAAAGGCATTCCTGACAGGAAAGAATGGGGATATTTTGATTTTAAGTTCAATTACAGCAGCCAATAAGAAAATACACAATTCTGCAGCATATATTCACACAGTTTACGCTTTCAAATGGTATTTAAACTATATGCAAAGGAAATAATTAACTTCTTTGGCAAGACAAGAATGTTTTCACCCCATAAAGAATTTAGAGTTGCTGCAAAGCTCAGATCTCATTAATTCCACAGTGTTTTGCATGCTTAGCTATTTTACAGCAAATAAAACAACTTCCACATTGAGAAAAACTACTGACTTATGTATTTTTAGGTCTATCCTTTACCTCAGCATGTACTTATTTTTAGAAGTCCTATTCATCTCCTAGAGATATTAACAACTTCTGAAGTACCTTTATAAAAAAGAAGCTCTACTGAACAGTTATTTTTTACTTGGTCTCACATGAAAGCTGCAGTGACCACTAGGAAAAGAACTACTAATATTATATAGCGTTATATAGCAGCACTATAGTACTGCATAATACTACATAGTACTGCATGGTAACAGTGCCATACAACATTATGCAGTATTAATTATTAGTATGTAGTATTTATAGCATTATTCACATGCTTAAATAATTTGGGACTGTGGTAAAAGTCAAAATTACAAGCAGATTAAGAACATTTTTGAAACTGAAAAGCACAAGCAAGAATGATTAAACACATATGTAGCTAAATAAAGATACGAACAGAAGTTGTGTTTTGGTAAAGACATTTGTGCAAGTATCTAGGGCAGAATTTACAACTCTGGCAGCTGACACATGAAAACTACCATGCTAGTATTTCATTTGTTTAGCAGTTTAGCTTGGCTTGCCAACCTTACAATGAAAGTGAAGATCAAATTAAATCTAATAGCTTCTCTTTTCATATGGTTATTCTGTAACCTGACTAAAGTTTTGCCTACGACATTCCACATAAAATGCAAAGCCATGCATTGGCACTTTCAAAACAACAAAGCAATGGTTTGGGTAAAGACTGCATAAGCGTAAGTTAGATTCCAGCATGGTGATAAGCCAAATAACATCAAGCTCTGGAGTTCTGTCAGAGAAAGGAGAGATCCAGAGATTTAATTTATTTGATTTGTAAATTTAAAATTTTCCAAATGCTTTTATGCATTCGTGTGAGAGATTCAATAACCTTTGTTTGTATCAATTACTATACAATTCACACCAAAAGGGATTTAGGACAACGAATGGCAACGTCAATGAGGCCTTCCTCACTGAACAGCCTTCTGTCACATGTATCCAAAGTTGTAAATAACATTCCAAACCATAAGCTCTCCTCTTCTCACATCATTACTGTGTATCTTTGGTACAGATCTAAGGCGCTTCATTATTCTGCGAGCCTTTCCCACCACAGGAAGCTTGCCTTGTTTCACAGTCATAGACCTCACAACTTCTGAGACCCAGATGAAGAGTTTCCCCACGGTGTCAATAGACTGTCCTCAGGTTTTGGTTCTAAATGAAACAGCCATGCATTTCGTCTAGATTGCCCTAAATGTGGTGGTTCAAAAGCAGCCACCAAATACAGTAGATTCCTTTATTTCTGTAGCACAAAGAATAATAAACGGAACCTTTTGAAAAAGTGTTGGAAAGTGCAAAAATGTCAGTTTAGAAAGGGGATTACAGGAGAGGAAAGGTAATGAGAAAGGCTGAAAGATTTCTCATTTAAGAACATCAGGCATGGTTTGATGAGGTATTGAATAACAGCAGTCCCACAGAAACCAGACGCAAGGCTAGAACAAAAGGAAGACATCTGCGTCTTTCAGGCCATGCAGCTGCCCTGCAGTGTTGCTGCTCTCCTCTTCCAAAGGTGGAATTTTGTAGTCATGTCCATGGTACCGCCAACAGCTGCACAACGTGGCCCTTTTTGAGTAACACCTGCACCTTTTAGACTGGGAACGTGCTTTGTTCAGAATATTAGTCCCTTGACTGTATTACTGGAAACAGATATGAAGAACTGGGATTTATTTGGGGCTGAACAGGAAAGTTAAAGCAATGTCTGTTCTAGAGAAAAGCCACTGATCTGTGGTTTCTAGCCTTCAACTGTCTTCCTAGGAAGCAAGTTCCCTCAATGATCCATGATTAGAGAGCAGTGTAGGGGAAAGGGACCTGGGGGTCCTGGTGGACAGCAGGATGACCATGACCCAGCACTGTGCCCTTGTGGCCAAGAAGGCCAATGGCATCCTGGGGTGTATCAGGAGGGGGGTGGTTAGCAGGTTTAGAGAGGTTCTCCTCCTCCTCTACTCTGCTCTGGTGAGACCGCATCTGGAATATTGCATCCAGTTCTGGGCCCCTCAGTTCAAGAAGGACAGGGAACTGCTGGAGAGAGTCCAGCAAAGGGCTACAAAGATGATTAAGGGAGTGGAGCATCTCCCTTATGAGGAGCGGCTGAGGGAGTTGGGTCTCTTTAGTTTGCAGACGAGGAGACTGAGAGGAGACCTCATTCATGTTTATAAATATATAAAGGGTGAGTGTCACGAGGATGGAGCCAGGCTCTTCTCGGTGACAAACAATGATAGGACAAGGGGTAACGGACACAAGCTGGAACACAGGAGGTTCCACTTAAATTTGAGAAGAAACTTCTTCTCAGTGAGGGTGCCAGAGCACTGGCCCAGGCTGCCCAGAGAGGTTGTGGAGTCTCCTTCTCTGGAGACATTCAAAACCCGCCTGGATGCCTTCCTGTGTAACTTCATCTAGGTGTTCCTGCTCCGGCAGGGGGATTGGACTAGATGATCTTTTGAGGTCCCTTCCAATCCCTAACGTTCTGTGATTCTGTGACAGCCCCCATAAGGAGTTCATCTGACTACTGCCTCAACTGAGGTAAGAATTACTTCTTTTTCTTTGAAAAGCGTTGCCCGAGCAAGGAGAAACCAGCATTTCTCAAAAGACAATACACGCCCCTTTTGCTGGGTTTTCAAGAGAAAAAGTTCTAAAAAAATTCATTCCCTGTTGGCCACAACCACCAGCACCAGCAGACAGAAAGGCCAACACTCACTCCTGGCACAGTCTCAAAAAAGCCTGCCATTGCCTCAGTCCCACATTCCAGCTTGATTACAGCACTCCAAGTGGTACTTCTAAATTTTAAGAGAAAGCAGACCGCTGCACAAGCAAGAAGCAACACTTTCTCTCTCCAGAGATGCTCAGCTTGGCAACTGTCCCCTTCAGAAGTGCACTAAAATGGGTGAGGGCAATGAGGCAGCATTCTTAAGGAGGCATGCTTGGCCACCACACATTTGCTTGTAGCTCCAGTGGTAGGCTAAACTCAAAGGAGAGTGGCAAATGTAATGTATTCTCCTGCTCTAATGGGACTGATCAGGTGGGCAGATAGTTGCTGGGGAGAAACCACAGCAGCCTGAAAAGCAGGGAGCATGGGAAGACACAGAGAGGATTCCCTGGGCATGTCCACCATACAGGGAAATGACACAAGAGCTGCACTTCTACTAAGGACCACCTTAAGATTACAAAGGAGTACTCAGAGCACCATGTCCAATGACGGTGGCTTAGGACACCATGACACTTTTTCAGACAGGTTATTTCACTTGCTAACTCTGGGTCAACTGCACACAAACAAAGCAAATGAGAAGCAGAGCACATCTCTACACAGCTACTGCAAACACCTCTATTTGGGAACGATACAGACAGAACCAATGCATAGCATCACGTTATTTGGAGGTAATCTCGTCAGGGTTCTTCTGTCACATCAATGGGCTCACAGTAAGACAACTTCACTTTCCAGAATGGGCGCTGCAGCATGCACAAGAATCCATAAAACTGCAGCCAATGGAAAAGACACTGGACACATCCTAACAGCATGCAGCATAAGATTGATGGGACAGTAAGAATCTTCCAGTGGTACTGATGACCCCGATGCTGAGAATTTAACCCTACTGAACACTCCCCTTAGTTGCCTTTTGCAGACCTCAGAAATAGTTAATGAACCTCTGCAACCACAGGTTGAAAATCCCTTCTCCAGATTTATCAGTTATGAAAGCAATGTAACCACTTAAAAACTGCTGCGCTTGAACCAATCTATGTGTACCTCAAATTCTCATGGGACATGACATGAAAGCAAACACAGGGTTGTAGAACTTAGAAGCAGGTTGCAGAAAGCAGAAGGAACTTGGTACATATCTTCATAACGCCCTTTACACTTCTGCACAGCACTCTAAATTTAACTGATCCTTTTAAGCATCCTTCCATTCCAGTTTAAGCTTTAGCTTCTCCCAGCCTGTGAGACACAAAATCTGTTGACAGACAAATGCAAGGAAAAAATTTAACAGACCTGCACCCTGTTTGAGAAGCTCTGCTGCCGAGTTTGCAGCAGTCTGTGGAGAAGTTTCTGCGATCTCCTCCAAGGGATCTGCAAAAAGAGAACACTGTCCATGTCTTGTTCGGACTTGAATTGACAAATCAATGCACATGGTCAAGTATGAGTTTAGTTTCTGTAACTGTTATCTCATCGACCAAACAACCCTTGGTCAGAAACATGAACCAATCTTGTATCTGCAACTATAATCATTCCTGTGGTTTTTGTGCTGCATCAGTTTTTTTGCCTCCAGTGATGCAGGAGAAATGCTTGACCTTTACTTCCTGACAGTAAAAGACGTAACTACATAGCTTATGCTGCAGAGACGCACATGATACTAATAGTGTATTCCCTCATTACAACCTCAAAGTTTTATAAATAGTGCAATTTTAATTTTCTCATTTAATTTGTATAATTTACACTAATTTATGAACAAATACTTTGTGTTTCTGTGATGAAATAAATTAATTGTATTTTGATTCAGAAGATGACAACATAATCCTTTCTTCCTACTTACACAGAAATCAAACACTTGAACTATTAAGACAGGAGTGGAATGTTTGCCTCCCAATCTTCTGTTAAATTTAGTGAGAAAACTGTCCATATATTTCAATTACATAAATGCATGTAAAAAGAACTCACTTAGTGCTGTATTTAACACAATGTATGCTGTCTTTGAATACATTCAAAGGAATGAGGAAAAGAGCAGTAATAAGGTGTGTGACACTATTCACATGTTTTAAATACTCCAGGCACTGTGTCCAGAACCATTAACCACTGACCATCTTAAAATGCATGACTGTCTCAGGTTCATAAATAAATAAATAAATAAATAAATTTCACTGTGATATGTTTATTCAGGACAAGGCAAATGTTTCAGTCCTGCACCTCTGCCAGAAGGAGATTTCCATTTTAGGAGAGAAGAAGGAGAACAAGCGCACCTACTACACTGGCTTGTCATACAAAGAGATCTCTGGTCACATCTACTATAGAATGTTTTTGTGCTAAAATGGTTTCATTAATGTATCTGCCTAATTCAAATGCTATGTTTGAACACTAACATACGGTCTTTAACAAAAGTTTGAAAAGTTCAGTAGAAAAACACAAGAATGTTTAACATTTCAATAATACATGTGGTGTCAACTTCACGTGAGAGCGTAACAGACAACAATTATGGGGCAAGTATAGCTACATTTTGCTGTTGTGTTAGAGTGGTTTATGAAATCACCAAATCCAAAATTAGAATTACAGTGCCATGATGCAACACAGGCTTTTTGATAATTTACTCAAACAATATTTGGACCTGTGTAAACTGCTACAGTCAACAGTCACACTCAGGGCACCTTCTCTTTTTTACCTACTTGCCTTCCCTAAAGCCCTTTTGCTAATTAGACTTGAGTTAGCGGTTACGTCCAACCGTACATGGGCGTAATTCCATGTCTGCAAAGTACTTTCATCTTCCCACGTGCAAGATTACTGTGTGAATTTCCATGATGCATATATGTTTATGACTGGCATATCACAGTACCAGCCTGCTCACAACTACAGCTTGGATAAGAGCCATCAATAGTATTGAAGAATGACTTTTAAAACACAGCTTCCTTCCCTGTGCATTCTTGCTTATATCTCGACTTGTGACATGTTCACCTGCCTTCAGACACCAGCACTTTGAAGCAGCACTTGGCCTGGTATATCTCTTCTGTACTTTAACAAGCATACCTCTGTCTGGGATGAGGAGCTTGCAGGGCAATGCCAGAGGAGTGATGGAGTGCTGATACACCAGAGCTGTCAAACTCCCTGTGGTCAGAAGAGGAAAAAGACAGGCACAGTTAATGTGGTAGTCAACAAGAACGCTTAACAGTTATGTTGGCTCTCAAGTATTTTATAGACCAAGGGGCCTCCCCACCCCCAGCCCTTTAAAAATACTCTCTTGGCACCTACACCAAGACCTTCTTTGGTCAACTTTAGTGTATTCCTGTTTCCCAGCACTGTCCCAGTTGGATTTACTTTAACTCATTAATCACAATCATATGCTCCCTTTCCCTGCTTAAACACACTGCTTAAATCCTAACCTAAATGCCTCTGCTTCAAATATGGAGAAAGCACAAAAATTACAAAACCAGTAACATATAGAAGTCAGTAAATTCCTTTCAATGCTCTTAACTTCTGCTACATTAAATGTACTAAAAATCTTATGAAGATGGTTAAAAGCACAAGGGGTCAATGCTATGTAACGAGGCAGAGAAAGAGTGAGGAGTTCTGCCTCTTAGCCACCTAGTCTCCACTAGCTAGTGCTTTTTCTACATGCATCTATTTTGTGGTTATAAAAGTACAAAAGATGCTATAGATTAAATCTCCTCCATCTAATGCAGCAGAGGTGTGTATGCAGCATTCTCTATTAAATTATTTTTCTTTTCTGTTCAAACTCACTTTTGTCATTTGGACTTGGATTAATTAAAATAATTAAACTTCAGTCATTCTTGATATGAGACTACACTCTAAGAAGCGAGAGTAGGCCATAATATTCATCAGCCTGTTTGTACAAAAAGTCATCCTTCGATCCTGCTTACTAACTACAATCACAGTTCAACCAAAAACAACCTCATTTTTACACCCTGCAGCCTGTGGAGGACCAACATTGGAGCATATGGACGTTTCCTGAAGGAACTGTGCATGCTGAAGCAGATTTTTTCCTTAAGGATGGCAGCTCATAGGGAAAG